GTCCCCATTGAAGGTTCGTATTGAGGAAGTTCAAGGGAACCGTTCTCCTGAAATGAATATGGTTATCATTTGGGTCATGTAGTAAAAAGTTGGATTTGAATGAGTCCACTGATTTGTCAAAGTTGATTGTACCATATAAACATGTGATCAACAAAAACACACTCAGTTGATCGAGAGAGTGATCCCTTTAAGGGGTACAATTTGAGGATAACCATGGTAAGAAAGCTGTTGACACAGGGGATGATCACCAACCGAAGGGGGATGTTGATCCAGTGGATGATTATGAGGTAATGGGGGATGTAGACGCAGAATATGGTAGGGGAAAAATCTACATGATGTTGAGTTTTTTTGAGGATGAATACAAAAGAAGTAAGGAAAGTGTTAGTGAGGATCCTTGGAGTGAGGGTAATATGACATATGATGTAACACGCATAAAATTCGAGCCAATTTAAAACTTTTTTGTAACATCCCAAAAATACAGGCCAAAAATTTCATTTTAAAATATGTCATTATAAAACCAACAGTGTGATAAAACATCCGTAACATCATGTCATGTCAAAACCAAAGTAGAAATAATCAAACGTGTTATCATAAAATAATATCAAAGTGTAATCCCAAAGATCTCATGTGCGGAAAACCATAGTGTGATGCGCTGCGATCAAGCCGGCTCCTTTCCTTTAGACACGAAGTACCTGAAACCAAAACTGAAAACCGTAAGCACAAAGCTTAGTGAGCTCCCCCATCATACCACATACCATATAATCACATAACATACATATATTGTCAGGCATTTATGGGGTGCCCGACCTACCCGGTATGGCCTTTCTGAGGTGCCGACCTACCCGTGTCAAGCCATTCTAGGGTGCTGACTACCCCCGTCAAGCCATTTTGGGGTGCTGACTACCCATGTCGAGCCATTCTGGGGCGCTGACTACCCATCGGTCCTAACAACCGAACCTAGGGGACTATTTCACCCCTACTACTACTATCACATATAACATAACATAAACATATTATCAGACATATCTGGGATGTCTGAACTACCCTTCGGTCCTAACAACCGAACCTCGGGGACTAGTCCCCTCCTACTACCTCTATCGCATAAAACATAACAAGCCAGCATGCCACATATCATCACATACTATCAGACGTATATGGGGTGTCTGACTACCCTTCGGTCCTAATAACCGAACTCCACTACTATTACATACAACATCTCATGCTAGCATATAACATATCAGGTAGTAGCAAACCTAGATGATATCACAAAGACAATCATCTATCATACATCTCCTACTGGTGGGCCGACATTGTGGCCTTAGACCCACCGCTACTGGAAGGTAACTCACCTCATACTGTTGAAGTCCCGTAGTCACAACCCCACACTGCTGAAGTCCCGCAAACTCAACCACAGCTGCCGGATGACAGATTCCCGAACTGTCAACACCAAAATAACACCCAATTAATAATTGGGTCCCAACACATAACCATAAATACATACTTAGATAATTACTACATTACCCTAAGATTGGCTTTATTCAAGCCCAAGGCCCAAACCATAGGCCCAAAGCGAACTAGGAATCAAAGCCCAACATATGGCCCAATTTTCCAAATTGGGCCCAGGCCTATGCATGGTCTTATTCTAAGGCCCAACATCGTACAATCATTAAGGCCCAACTATGGTCCATCTATGGCCCAAATTTCCAAATTGGGCCCAACCCCTTACCCTAGGCCCATGTAATCATTTTAGTCCATATAATTATTCTTGGATGGTCCATTAATAATCCAATTATTAAGGCCCAATAGAAAGGCCCAACAATAAACCCAAGTGAAGTCAGGGTTTCACATAAAATGCCGATTAAGGTTAAGTTTCCTACTTAACCCATTAAGGAATTATTCCTCTAAGGACTTAATCCATTAAGTCCATCATTCTTTTAAATAAGTCATATGGTGTGATTGGGCTTAATCACACAATTCCATTCCAATGGCCCAAATGTGGGTCTCGATAAGTCCAAGCCCATAATCCCAAATTAGAGTTTTCACATGAAATGATGATTAGGGTTAAGTGTTTCTTTCTTAACCCATTAAGGACTTAATCCATTAAGTCCATTATGTTTTATGTTAGTTTGCCAATGATTATTATTTAATATCTTAAGTTATTAAATAATTCTCGTGTGTGTGACCCGATTGATTCTTAAAGTTAGGGTTTCATTAGCATTAGGGTTTTCCAATCCAAATATTAGCTCATTTCTCAATTTGTTGGCCTTTTATGTAAATCAGGGCTTTATTGGGCCTATTAAGCCACTAAAATCTTATTAGGCCCATATGGGTTTAATTCGGTCCATTAGAGTCCATTAAGCTTCATTGGGCCCATTAGAGCTCCTTTGAGCCCATTAGGGTTTCTAGCATCCCCAATCGAGTCAACTCACAAGACAAGCACACCGCCACCCGACACGGCGGCTGGTGGCGGCAAGAGGCGGCAACCACCACCCTAAGGTGGTGGTTTTCGAGTTCTTTCATTATTCTGATACTATTACAGATTACAACACAAATCCAGAATCACGCACACACTCTTTAACATACACATACACACGCATAGCCACCCAAATGGTGGCCGGTGGTGGTGTAAGGCGGTAGCCTTGCGATTTCCGGCTAGACAAATAACCCACAATACATATGAACACCAAATAATTGACTGAAGTTAAGTCACACATGAAATACGCACACCAAGCATCGCCCAACATCGGTGGTTGACGACAGCAAGGTCGGCGGCCGTAGCAACGACGCCTTGGAGTGGCGGCAGTGATGACGGTCTGAACAAACCCCGAGGAGCATCGATTGGAACCGGTACATCTCATCGGAATACCGTCGCAACAGCAACATAGAACCGAGGTCGCTCACCATCCGCTTAATCTTCAACGGCTGCAGTGAAGTAGCGACAAGAACCCCATCGATCACCTCCCACACATCAACGCTTCCCATTCCGCTTATAGCCACCATCGGGTTCCCAGAAGCCACGATGACGAAGCACAACACACTCGGCGGTCTAGGTTCTCTACTATGGTGGTCGCACCTCCACCGGAAATGACCATATCGGCCATCACTTCCGATACACCCAACAGACTTCGATATCTCAGGACATGGCAAGCATCGTTGGAGGTCTCCGGCGATTGGCGACTTCATCGGGGATGGTTGCGACTTGAACAACAAAGGGAAATGGCACCAAAGATCGGCGGAGAGGGGGCGGCTGGATGGAGGTATCGATGAGAGGGTGTAGGCTGAAGAGTCCGACGATGGCGGCTGCACTGCCCCTTGGGTCTAGGGTTTCATAACGTGTTTATATACCCGTCACCCACAAACATTTTGTCATGATGGCGGGATTGGTCCCTCCCATCCAATCTCCTTTCAAATTAAGTTCAAATAATTACCATGGAGCCCCTCTCTTCATAAATATAATAAAATGAGTCCCAAACTCACGTTTTTAGCCCCCAACTTCTAAAAAAAATATAGCAATTACTCCTCGAACCCAACACCCCGCATATATAATTATTTATTTTAGGGCTACTATTCGCTTATTTTTTATTTATTGATTTAATAAATAAACGGGGCTTTACATTTTTAAAACATTTAAAACCATCTAGTTATTATAATTTGTTTTCAAAATAGTTTAAACATCAGAGTTCCCAGAAATCAAAGTCATAAATCAAGGAAGTGTACGGCGACGCCTTCGCCTTCCCACGGTCATCCGTTTTATCTGAAATAATAATGGATAAATGTAAGCTCGAAGGCTTAGTGAGTTACCCCCCCCCCAAAAAAAAAAAAAAAAAAACAACCGCATACAGCCACAAACATATCATATAACAAACACAGAACAATCATGCATCTCGAGTCTATAGTGTGACCGGTCTGCCCACACTGGGCCTTCAGTCCACCTGATCCACTCTCTGAGTCTACAATATGACTGGACCACCCGCATCGGGCCTTCAGTCTATGTGGCCCACTTTTTGAGCATCGTCTCGTCTGGACCGCCCTTTCGGGGCCTTCAACCTATCCGGACCACTCGTCGAGCTTTCGGCCTGACTATGTGCCCTCCTGGGTCTGTAGTCTATTCAGTCTCCCCTAGGTATGTTGGCCTACAACACAAAGCAGTACATGCGTCAACCCAACCCCCATACCAATCAAACAATCATGTGCACATAAATATCATACGCTAGCATGTATATAACAGATAATCATACGGATCTAACAGATCACTAATACAACAACCATCCTATAACCAGGATACCGACCAAACCGGTCACAAACATAGCATCATCATATATACCAGGATATCGACCTAAACCTAATCACTAGACATAACACCATCCTAACTACCAGGATGCAAATCTAGTAGATCAATAAACATATCAAGAAAATACCCAGATACAAATCCGATAAAGGGCCAACCTTGGTGCCTTAGACCTTGTTGATATAGTGAGGATAACTCACCTCGCAATGTCGGTCTGAACTAAGGTATTGACTCTTGTAGTGCTGTCTCACCGAAAATCCTGAACTATCCAAAATAACGAATGCTGAGTCAACATATGGGCAAGATTTAATGGTTCTTGATTGCACACATCGATGTTCACCACTCAGTCATCTGTCTCTTTAGGTCTTGACACTAGTATAACCCAAGGACATTTACCCTCTTTCATATTTACTGTTTTGTCCTTGAATCCAGTCATTGACTTTGTCCATGGCCCGCCACTCATATTTGAGACCACTCCTCTACACTTAGTCCTAATCCTTGTTTTGTCATTTTTTTTCAAAATGTAAATCCCTTTTGGTTTCTACTGCATGTTGTTTATATATTATTTCACATCCTTCTTTGTTTTGAACTTCTATCCTAATGTGAAAGCCTTTGGATTAACTACACCCTCAGAACAACTTTTTGCATTTCTTATGTCTCATAACATCCTCTCTCTGTTGTTATCTTCACCTACAATAGGTGACTCAAACGATTATGGGTCTGTGACTTCCAAATCTTCACCTTCATTAAAGTCAACACCACTACCACTTGCTTCTTTGGTCATTTTTTGAACCCACTCAACATCTTCATCAACATGTATATGAAATTCTTTCATATCAATATCCACATCATCTACAATATTTTCTAAATCCACAAAGAAGTCTTCATCCTTAATCTCATCATCTGTTAGGGATGAGCAGTTTGTCCCAAATACCGATCCCATACCGGTACCGTACCGGAACCGGTACCAAATCGTACCGAATTTAAAAATATGAGACGGTATTCGGTACTCCAAATACATGACATTCGGGATTTGGTACCACCGGTATCAGTACTAGTACCGAACATCGGTACCATTCCCGGTACCGGTACCAGTGATGTTAATTCAGTTCGGTACTCGGGATTGACTTTTGATAAAATTCGGTTTTCGGGAAATCGGGAATGGTACGGGTTGGTACCGGTTCCGTCCCATGCTCATCCCTATCATCTGTCATATTACCCTCACTCCTACTACCCTCACTCCAAGGACCCTCACTAACACTTTCCTTACTTCCACTGTATTCATCCTCAAAAAACTCAACATCATGTAGATTTTCCCCCACCATATTCTGCGTCTACATCCCTCATTACCTTATAATCATCCAGTGGATCAACATCCCCTTTTGGTTGGTGATCATCCCCTATGTTAACAGCTTTTTTTACCATGGTTATCCTCAAACTGTACCGCTTAAAGGGATCACTCTCTCGATCAACTAAGTGTTTTTTGTTGATCACATGTTCATATGGTACAATCAACTTTGGCAAATCAATGGACTCATTCAAATCCAACTTTTTACTACATGACCCAACTGATTTCCTTTTCATTCTAACCCTATTCATTTCAGGAGAATGATTCCCTTCAACTTCCTCAATATGAACCTTCAATGGGGACTTAAATCAAGGGACTACTCTATTATTTCCATGCTCGATGTACAAATTAATTTCCTTATGATTAAGCACATACCTTGCCAGTTGAATGACTTCCTGATCGGTGCCAAGGGGGAACAATCCACTATCCATGTATGTGTATGGGATAATAAAATGGTAAAACATTATACCTCCATCATTGTACCCTAAAACGGCCATCATATCATATAACTCGTGGACCGAAAACACATCCATGTCCACAAAATCAAAGTGATCCACAAGCTCATCTATATATGACCTTCCAGATACCGTATTTGTGAATGAATCCCCATGATTTATCTTGAATGTGCAAAAGCTTGAAATAGAACCCGATGTGAAAATTCAAGAACAATAAAATGTTAATGATGGAGGAAAGCAAAATTACATTTCGTCAAAACCTAGCTTTACAAGGTCTGTGCTTACCATATTCTTTACGTAGGTCAAGTGGTTGGGTGTAGCGTGGACGTAAAGACCACAATGTGAGCACCATTTTCCTCGATACACCCTTCAATCAGTTGAACTATTTTGTCAGACGACGATAAGAACTCACGATTGAAGAAGATGGGATGATCAAAAGGTTTTCTTGTAGAAAGAGATAGAGTGTAAAGTCAATGTCTGAAACTAAACTCCGCCACCTTAATGGATATAACTATTAATTTATATGTCCAGAAAATGTCCTTTAGGGTAAAGTGACATAAATACCCTCATGTGCAAGTCACATGGGGGCAGCTTAACGTTGGAATGGACGGACATCCAACTTGGGGACCAAACGCGTGAAACTTATGGTCCGTAGGTACTATTTCAGGGGAAAAAGTACCGTAGGGACTACATTAGGGAAAAAATCCAAAACCTAAATGACCATTCGGGTAATTTGTTCCATATAATATTATGTGCATCTTCCAATATATTCTATTATATTATTCTGTCACTCTTTTTTCTTGTACATTGAGTTGATCCCGAGTTCATTTGAAAATAACATTCATGATCCAACCATTTTATTCAAAACTACGCACATTTTATCTTCGTTCATCTCACCCTGCAATCTACACTCAAGTGGGGAAATGGTAATATCTTATTGTTTTCTTATGTGAAATTTGATTCGATTCTTTGTATATTTTGCATATTATATCCATATATTTTGCTTTAAATTTATTGCAGGAGGAAGTATTGCACGAGATACATGTGTGGGAAGACTATGTAAATTGTAGGTTCAGACATGCACAAAGAGATCGCCATAGTGGCGTGTGTATGTGTGTGTGTGTGTGTATATATATATATATATGTGTGTGTGTGTGTATGTGTGTGCATGTGTCTGGGTTCAATTGAGAAAATAAAAAAGGTTGAGAATGGGGGAATCATTCTTAGCCACTCATTTAATTAGCCTCTAAACATAAAGGACACGGTGACAAACTTGTAAATATGATATAGTAGCCTTCAATCACAAATACGAACAATTGAAATTTATTCGTTTTTTGCTCTTTCAATCCAACCTTCAATTCTGTTTGAATACGAACATATCTTCAACATCTACGATTAATTATACTCCCAACATCATTATAACAACATCATTGATAATCAACAAAAAATTCAATTCGTATCATTCATTCAATATCGTTCATCAAATAAAACATCGAAATTAAGGTTAGAAAAAGATCAAATCATTTTTTGTTTTAAATTTTCATATATTTCTCTACCAATCTACTATTTTGTAAGATTTAAGTAGTCAAGGTATCATATTTATCACATTTTTAAAAAAGTTAACTTGTATGCACTCCAACTGTTTGATGAAATGCATAAACTAAATTACCACGTTATATTCACATATGAATATGTTTTCTCACCTGAATCAATATGTGATTATTAAAACACAAAACAAATATGCAAGTCTGTATGTTATTCATATGTGAATAACATATAAAAATTATATATATTTCTGAAAACACATTGTAATATTCATATATGAATATACTGTGCAATATTTACATATGAATATACCAACTATTATTCATAAATGAATATACGATCTAATATTCACAAGTGAATATACTATGTACTATTCTCATGTGATATACTATGTAATACTATATAATATTCACATATGAAAATATCATATAATATTCATAAATGAGTATACCATCTAACATTCACAAGTGAATATACTATCTAATATTTACAAATGAATGCATCGTCTAATATTTAAATATGAATGTATTATGTTTAATATATGTTATATTCATATATGAATGATACTTAAATTATAAAAAAAATTAATCATAGTTTTTATTCATAAGTGAATAACGAATATACTGTAGTAAAAATCAGATTTATTTTTATTCACTTATGAATAAAGATAGCTGAAAATATTTAAAAAAAAATTATTTTATCTTAAAACTATATCAACATGGATGTCTATTTTTAGAGAATAAAAAATCATGAATTTTGGTATATATTTAAAATTATTTTTCGATAAAAATAACTTCTTAAAAATTAAAAAAAATTAAAAAAAAAAAAAACGAAAAAACTATGTTTTTGTATATATTAAGGTAATGCTTAGCATAGTTTAAGTAAACATGTTTTGTTGGAAAACACATGTGCATTCTTTTCTTATTTCCGCCGGTATGTTGAAAGTTTTTGCGGGAAAAATAAATGATTGGCTGAGAATGATTCCCCTATTCTCAACTTTTTTTTCTCAATTGAACCAGCTTTTCTCTCTCTCTCTCTCTATATATATATATATATATATATATATATATATATATATATATATATATATATATATATATATATATATATATATATAGGGTTAAGTTCAAATGAGAACATTATTTAATGTGAGAACGTGAGAACACTACTTTATGATACTATTCTACTATGAATTTAATATGTATATTATTGTAGTAATTATAATATGAATATATTCAATTTTATATTGCTATTCTACTATAAAATTTATATATATATATATATATATATATATGTGTGTGTGTGTGTGTAGTAATTTAGTAAATTCTAATGTGAATGTTAAATATGTGATTGTTCATATATTCGGTGATGAATAATGTCATAAAGTTGTACATACAAAATTTTAATGTGAATATTAATGTGTGATTGTTTGTATATTTGTTGATGAAGAATATCATATAGTTGTATATACAAATTTCATAGTAGAATAGTAACATAAAGTAGTGTTCTCACGTTCTCACACTAAATAGTGTTCTCATTTGAACTTAACCCTATATATATATATATATATATATATATATATATATATATATATATATATATATATATATATATATATATATATATATATAGGGTTAGGTTCATTTAAGACCACCTATATTTTGTGAGACCGTGAGACGCATTTTTTTATTTTATTTTTATTTTTTTTAGTTAATTCATGTTCCGAAAATAATATTTAAAAAAAGAATTTTTTGATTTTTCCATTTATTTTGCATTTTAAAATTATTTTTAGAATATGTACAGTGTAATATTCTATTTAGAATATTTCAGGTATTTTTAAAAAAAAATAGATTTTTTTTTTATTTTTTTTAGTTAATTCAAGTTCCGAAAATAATATTTAAAAAAAGAATTTTTAGATTTTTCCATTTATTTTGCATTTTAAAATTATTTTTTAGAATATGTCAGTGTAATATTCTATTTAGAATATTTAACGTATTTTTCAAAAAAAAAAATAACGGAATTTTTTTTTATATATATTTTTTATTTTTTTAGTTAATTCAAGTTCCGAAAATAATATTTAAAAAAAGAATTTTTGGATTTTTCCATTTATTTTGCATTTTAAAATTATTTTTAGATTTGATCTCACGGTGTTACAAAATTAGAATGGTCTCAAATGAACCTATATATATATATATATATATATATATATATATATATATATATATATATATATATATATATATATATGCAGTTGTTTAAATTCTAGAAATTTTGGCCTTTTTGGCAAATGCAAACAATATCGTCGTCTTGTATCTGTCAAAGTATATGCAACTTTCTCCATCAAGATCCGCCATTGATGTCACAAACTTTATGGCCACCGCATTTTTCCTTGCACTCATTAGTGGCTTTTTATCAAATGCTTTCTTTACTAGCTACTACATTTACTTGATGAGCGAAGATGTCGAGTTTTTAGTACTTTTAAATTTATTTGGATCACTCTTCTTACAACAATTTCTTATATAATTTTACACTTTTTTATATCAAGAAACCGCTTTTCTAACAATAGGGGTGTGTTCGGCAAAACTAAGCTGGTAGCCGTAAAATGAACCTATAGATTTTATTTTTATATGATTTTGGGAAAAAGTAGTTGTAAACTTTTAAAACAATTAAAATTACATAAAATGATATCTTTGAGAAATATAAAATAGAAACATAATTTTTAAAAAATGGTAATTGAGTCCATTTGCAAAAATATAAAAGTCTTTGTTATATACTACTTGAAGTAGCATTCGGGTTTGAAGTTTTTTGTTTAAAGTAAAAGCTAAAAGATCTTATTATCAAACGAAGTGTTTTGTTTTAGAGTTTTTTCTTAACGGGGTTAAAAACAAGAAACTCCTAAAGCCCTAGACGTTGGTTTTCATATTATTATTTTCAAATAGCTCATCCAAAGTCCAAACTTATATTTTGCTTTCAAACAATATACAGGAATTAACTAGTTAATTATACAGGGTTTGATAATTCTAACATTCCTACCTCTATCACCCTACCTCAAACGCCCAACATGTGACACATCCAAAACCCTTCCTTGCATACAAGTTCATGGTGGAAAAGCCTCCATGTTGTTCTTAGGTCTCTACCTTGTGGCTATTGGTGTTGAGGGTATAAAGAGATCATTACCAACACTAGGAGCCGAACAATTTGACGAAAATACCCCCAAAGGAAGGAAGCAAAGATCAACCTTTTTCAATTATTTCATATTTTGTTTAATATGTGGTGGTCTAATTGTTGTCACCTTGGTGTTATGGATCGAAGATAATGTAGGGTGGCAATGGGGTTTTGGCATTTCAACCATAGCCATCTTGTTGTCAATTGTTATCCTCCTTGCTGGTTCAGTCTTCTATCGTTGCAGGATACCCAATGGAACCCCTCTCGCAACCATGTTTAAGGTAATAACTCGATACACTAGCTATGAGTTTGTATTCGTGTTTGAAGACTGAATCTGGCATTTCATCGAACAGGTGGTGTGCGCAGCATCTTTAAATGTTTCTAAGGTCGCCAACTCCGATGAGCAGCAGACGAAAGAGAATGAGACAAACAGAGCAAGACTTTCAAACACCCTCGAGTGGTTAAACCGCGCGGTTGAAAACAAACCAGCCAATAGATTACTCGCGTGCTCTATTCAAGAGGTAGAAGATGTCAAGATCATGCTGCAAATTCTTCCTATATTTTGCACCATTATACTTAATTGCTGTTTAGCTCAACTCTCTACGTTCTCCGTCCAACAAGCCGCGACAATGAACACGATGCTTGGCTCGTTCAAAGTCCCACCTGCGTCGCTACCTGTTTTCCCAATCGTCTTCTTGATGATCATGACACCACTCTACGATCATATTATAATCCCATTTGCACGAAAATGGAAAAAATTTGAGATGGGCGTGTCTCATCTCCAAGGAATTGGCTTGGGTCTATGTTTCTTCATTTTAGCCATGGCTGTCGCAGCTCTAGTCGAGCTCCAACGCAAGAAAGTTTCCAAAGTTGCGATGGTGGCACTACTGCCTATTTCGTTCCTGTGGATTTCGTTTCAGTATTTGTTTTTGGGATCTGCTGATCTTTTCGTGTTGGCAGGATTGATGGAGTTTTCGTTTACAGAAGCGCCCGTTAGAATGAGATCTTTGGCTACTTCGTTTTCTTGGGCGTCTTTGTCCATGGGTTATTTTCTTAGTGGCGTGATCGTCTCGGTTGTTAATGGTGTTACTGGCGCCAGATACCACCGGCAGCCATGGTTCTCCGGTGAGAACTTGAATCACCATCATCTTGACAGGTTTTACTGGTTATTATGTGTTTTGAGTTTGTTGAATTTGGAAATTATCTTTTTTGGGCGAATCGTTACAATTACAAATCAATATCAGGAAACATTTAAGATCATATGAATTTCTAGTAAATGATATTTAATTTTCAAAATTCTCATGAATTCGTTTAATTAACAAAAAAAATCAGTCGTTGATGTGTTAGTATAATTGTCTTTGACTCTTTTCCAATACTTTGTTTTTAAAGTAATCGGCTCTATCATAATGGTTTATTGAATTAGATATGACTAGTGAGAAGATAGGCTCTATAATAGTTGATACTAGTGAGAAGAGTGATGAGTTATGAAACTTTGCACTTTGATTTTTCTGATGAAAATAATAATATAGTGATATTATCATATTGCCATTTTGCTATATCTTATGTCGGATAAAATATATTTATTTATTTGATAAAATATGTTAACAGATATATTGAATAATTATAAAAAAAATACAAAATATGGAAAATAAAAATTGGATGCAAAGATCATCAAGGGAGTCGGGAAGGAGACGGTTGCAACTTGCAAGCTTAGAAGGGTGTGTTCGATGAAGGCAAATTGCAAAAATTTGAAAGAATCACGTATGGACCGAATCAACTATTAATCTTTTATGTGAGTTAGAGGTTTTGCTTACCCATGACTGAGTCTAAAAAAAAAAAATCTCATCAGACTCGACTGAAATCAAACAAACCCTAAAACATCTCTAAAATCTTATAAAAAAATATCTGACGAGAGTATCTTAGCCGTTCATCTATATCTTCACATTCCGAGTTTTCCAAATCAAAGTTTCAAATTTTAAAGACAATTTTGCATTGATCCTTATGGTTTACTATTTTCTTTGTGTTGCTTGGGTTTCTTAAGCTGGTATGTCAAAATATAACTTTAGCTATAAATGATAATGACACGTAATACTGGGAAACAAAATGGCTTTTACAAACAGTAGTTTTTTTTAACCTTGGAAATTATTCTCCATTCACATTACTTTCTAAGGATATGTATCTACTTGGAATTTGATCGGAACAAAACAAAATAAAAAACCAACCAACCCGATAATTAAATCGTTTTATACCATTCCGGTGTTAATTTATATGGAAGATATGGGTTTTATTTGCTTTTATTAACACAAAACAAATTGAAACCACATTAAAGTTTGATTAATTAGGATAGACAAACTAATTTCAAAACTAATTAGTATATTTTTCATCAACTTAACACCAAAGAATTCAAAATGAAAACAAAAAGAATTTTCCAAAACTAATTTGATTGTAAATTGACCCAAACGGATTGACCTGGTACCCCATCGTGTACCACAAACAACATATAATACCCCGGCGGTGCAACATTTGGGGATGAAGGCGCACGTACTGTAACCCTATACCCAAACACAGAATACTGTTCCACGGAAGCCACGTGTAAAAATAGCACCCGTTGATTCATCGCGAATGAGTGAGTCGCAAATGAGGGTGCAACCAACGATACGATGACCCTTAGATCTAAACCAGTCAAGGACATAGTCAACGTTATGGTGAAATATTGACCGTAGATTATACCCTCATCGATACCATATTCAACGGACAAGATTGAAGGCCTGTAATAAGCGAATCTCCCGTCCATGTACGGCGGCGAAAAGGCCTCCAAACTCAAATCAGTTGGGTAGTTTCCGGTGAACTCGTATGACACGTGTGGGTTACTTCCACCGACTAAGATTCTGCCATCTGGAAGTAACGTGGCTGCTGAGTGGTACATCCTAGGTCTTTTGGTGGGGTTGAGCACAGTAAATAGTCTCTTTCTTGGCTCGTAAAGAATCGGGTGCAAAACCGGTTCAACCGCGTTCTCCCAACCGGCGGTACCTCTCGCCGCTCCGTTAATGATGATGATGTCGCCGGTCGGTAAAACGATCATATCCGGCATTACCCGGCGGAGGGGCATCATCTCCATGGTCCAACTGGGCTGAGGAGCATTCAGATCCATACGTCCGCAGGTTCTTGCAGCTGCCATGTACACACCTTGCTCCGCCATCGGAAACGACCCTCCTCTTGCGCCGCCGCAAATCATAACCTCCACTGGCGGAGATCTGGCATTTTCGTTGAGCGAAATCGGTAACAAAACTGACGAACCCGTTGATGGGTATGATCTTTTTTCTCCGGGAATCGGCGGAAACTCGCGAACAACTCGGCCGTGTACGTAATCCAGCGATATCGAACGTTGATTCGCAAAGATGAACAGATTTCCGTCCGGCAAGAGGTGAAGAAACGGATACAGATTGTTCTCTTCTTGAAAATCTGTTGTTTCTATCAAGAACGTGAGATTAAACAAATTTAAAGAAGAAGACCCAATTGGGTTTCTTGGATAAAACTCATAGCTGTAAGCTCTCCGGCCACCGACGATGATAATGTTCCCGTCGGGGAGAATATGATTTGACGCATACCAACGTTGAACAGTTAAATTCCTTTCCAATTCAACCCAATCACAAGAATTATCTCGGCATGGAGTGAAGAGACGTATTTTGTGGTCGCCGGCGTGGTAGCCTCCTGTTTGCACAAGTGTGCCGCTGGGATCGACGGAGCCTGATGAACACCATATATCGGTTTGTACAGTAAGTGGTCGGAATGTATTTGAAGGAACGTCGTAGAGGATGGAGTGAGCGGTGCAATCAGGTCTAACCACTTCGTCGTTGATCCGGCAAGGTTCTCCGAACGGGAGACTGAGATTTGATGGTCCAAAATCGGTCCGATCAAAGATAACGACTTTGTTATTGTGTAGAAGCTGCAAGTGCATGGCAGAAATCCCTATACTTCTTTGCAGAAGAACCCAATTTCCCAACGGTTTTTTGGGTTCAATCGCTCTTCTAATTTTGGGTGGCAAGAAAGGGTCATCGCGTCCGCTGACAATGATCTGTGTAGGCCCTGCGGCCGGCATGGGCGGTGTAGCCAGTATCGCCGGTGTTGGCTGCGTAGGCACTACTGTGGACGGTGTAGGCGCCATTATCGGCGTTGTAGACTGTGTGGGAGGTGGTGTAGGCGGTGGTATGGGCGGTGTAGGCAGTGTGGGTGGTGTTGGGGGTATAGGCGGAGGAGGAGGTGGAGTATGAATATGAGTATGGCCTCGGTGGTGTCGATGGAGATGAAAATGATGATGGTGGTGGCGGTGGTGATGATGGTGATCGGCGAGACAAAGATGGAGGAGAGAGAAACTAGTAATGAGCAAGAAGAAAGATTGATTCTTGAACAATATTGCCGCCATTTATAACTTGTAATAAGATTTTCTTGGGTGTTCTTGGGACCCTTTAATCGGCTTTATAATCTCTGGGAGGTAATTAAAGGACTCCGGAGGGTTTTAGGGTTTATGTAACTGTGCGTGTGTGCATAACTGTATATATATATACCCCTTTATTTTCAAAATGATAATTAATCAGAAAGAAGATTTTACAAAAGATCCGATCAATAATTACTTTTTTTGTTATCGTTAAAATAAATTCTATATTCTAATAAATGGCTTCTTTTATATATATATATATATATATATATATATATATATATATATATATATATATATATATATATATATATATATATATATATTAAACAATTTATTTGAAAATTCAATTTTTTTTAACTATATGTTAAATCTGAAATTATAATAACTTTAAAATCTTGATATATCTTTTAATTAATAGTTTATTTAAAATAATTGATTAATTATTATAAATTTTTATTATAAAAATTTAATTAATTTCATATTTTTTAGTTTCCACGATTATAAACTAATATAAAATATTCAACTATAGTTGGCAAAATGTGTGGATCGTTACATTACTGGAGCCAAATCCGAAAGAAAGCTTATTAACGGCTAATATAAAGTTAAGTTCATCATGATATAAACGCTTAGCGGTATTATCAAAATTCTCAGAAAGATTAATAATTAATCGTGCTAAATATATGAAATTTATAACATTTTTTGATCTAGAACAATTTATAATTATAAATTATAAAAATAAAATAAAAAATGAACACACCAGCTCATGACTCAGAACGTATATATAGGAAGTTCACGGCTTAAATGTAAATTTATGAAGATCAGTAATCATTAAAATAAAAAAGTACAATTTTGGAAATTATGTAACTATCAAATCTAAGTTAAATAACTAATATTTATGGGAATTAACTCAAACCCAATTTGAATATATGGAAAGTAAACTATGCCGTCTTGGGCTTGGTATGCAATCACGAGGCATGCAAGTCCGGCCTGCCCTTCTGGTAGCCCAATTGTTCTATCTAGAATTGTCATCATTTTGTTACATTTATGATCGGATATTAAGCAATAAATTAAGTACTGAAAATTTGGTTTCTATAATAGATATACTATGTGTGATTTTCTTCAAATTTCATATAGATTTGTCAAATTTGAGCAGCATATTAAACAACGAACGACGGTGATCTAAAATAATCACAACTATACTAATGTAATAAAAAAAAAGTGGCAACTGATGATGTTTGGTTTCATAATAGACATACTACGTGCGATTTTCTTCAAATTCCATATTGATTTGTCAAATCTGAGCAACATATTAAACGAGGTGATCTAAAATAATCACAACTATACTAATGTAATAAAAAAAAAAGAGTGCCAATTGATGATGTTTGGTTTCGTCTTGGTGATTCGATGTTGGAGGGCAAGTTATCGATTGCTAAGATAAATATCGTTTGTAGTATCTAAAGAGTGGTAAGAGGATACGTATCGACGATCAAGTTAGGAAGAATCATGGACTTAGTATGAGAAGGAAGTATGATATAGCGTAGTGTGTAGTGTGTCCAATATTGAGTAGCCCCATTGATATTTTGTATGTGTTGTCGTATCATCAATATATATAATAAGATTGATGAATACCTGGGTTCACAAGACGGTTGAGATAAAGAGACATGCCATGAATCTTCGCTTTGTCCTTCGTTCAGCTTTGACTCCGGTGATACCTGAAACAATCTCATGTGGGGACCCAAGATTACACTCCAATGGTAAAGTCAGTTTTTGTAACGCCAGTAGATCCGGGGCTAGTCAATTAAGAGACAATAAGTGTTGAAAATGATT